TGAGTGTTGACCCCCTTATAAATTAAAAACACTGTATATATTTAACACCATTATAAATGCTGGAGGCAAAGCGGGGTTTGGGGTGGAGGCTGACAGCTTATGATGCCCCCCTGTAATAACCTTGTTGACCCCCTGAGGGGTCCTGACCCCCCGTTTGAGAACCCCTGCTTTACAGCAACTTCCTTCCCTCCAAAATTAAGTACACTTGAGGTATGCTCAACCTCTCAGCAATAGATTCCACTTCTATAAAGGTTTTATTTGTAGAACAGTTTGAGAACCATGACTGACAGACAATATAGAAGCACAGAATAAATTGTTCCTCCTATTCCACATGTGTGGGGGCAAGCATGGATTCCCAAAATTAATTCTCAACTTTGTTACCCTTTCTTCTGCTCCCCACTGATTATCTGCTAGCATATGCATTCTGAATAAAAAAAACTTCTACTTCATTCTGTTGTGAAATCTAACATGTCATACCAATGTTACCTCTGGCTCACTGGACCAGCAGGGAGAAAAGGCATGAGGCACCATCTCTGCACAATGCTGACATGAGGTGGAGGAACATATGTGTGGGATTGGGGGGTGGGGTAGGCCAGAGGATAAATCAAAGACCCATCGAGACCAGCCCCTGGAAGTTCGAAGGTTGAAAGGGAGCACGGGAACAAAGAAAAATAAAGGGAAAAAACCAAGAAACTAGAGTATGCTAAGTTCAAAGCAGCCTCCAACGAGCAGCACCGCCAGAGGCAACAAGGTAAGAGGTTTCCATGACCAGGAATCAAACCTAAGTTGTGTTGGGGAAAGCAACAAATCCTGATCACTAACCACATCACTATGGCTGATTGGGGTTAATAAAATGCTATGATTGCTTATGAACTCATCTGTGCAGCTAGTTGGCTGATTGTGAGGTCAAATGCAGGTAAGGCCTCCTGATAGAGTCAGGCTTCCATGGGGCAATCCTAGTGAGGCCTCGGTGGGCTTCCTGGTGCTTGGGAGAAAGCCAGAGTTCCACCAGTACAAATCTGCAATTCAAACAGGGCTCCTGGCACTGTGCGCTGACAAGCTTGCCTGGCTTCTGATTGGTGGAAGCAGAGCCACACACCCAGTTCTGAGCCAGTCAGGAGGCAGAGTGCCCTGAAGTGGGGTTCTAGGCCAATGGAAGTAAAATTGGACACATCTGCTTCCTCCCTGTGCCCCAACGGGGACTTTTTTTTTTTTTTTAATAAGTGCAGCTAGTTCTGTGGAAGAGCATTCCTGCTGTTGCTTTCTGGCTGATCTAGGTGCTCCATTCTTGGCTTCTGACCCGTGGATGGGAAAATTTGCTCTAGCCTCATGGTCTACCACTTACCCTCCAGAGGTGGACTATTAAGGCTCTCCTCTACCTTCAGGTGCCAACTATTAAGCCAGCCATGTTGCAGCAGAACATGGGATGAAAACGGTCTTGCCAAGGCATGACTTGCACAACCAACCCATTATTATTAGCCTCCTGGAAAGCCTTAAACTGCAGTTTCAGGAGTACTACCATGAAAAGGATGGGGAAACAGAGGCATGGATTAGAAACCCCTTTAATGCAGAAATGATTGCAAGTGCTGTTATGTCACTTACAGTGAAAGAAACATTAATGGACCTTTCCTGAGATGAGACATTGATGCTGAGATTTTCTAAGCAATCTATTGCTAACTTCTGGATTTCTGTGCGAGGAGACTATCCAGACCTGTCATCTGCGGCTTTGAAAGCACTCATGCCATTTTCATCCACCTACCTGTGTGAAGCTGGCTTTTCAGTGCTGACTTGACTGAAAAACAAATACAGGTTCCATCTCACTGTTGAAGATGACCTCCATCTTTACCTCAGCCACACAGCCCTACTTCAAGGATTTGTGTTCATCAATACAAGCTCACCCCTCCCATTAGGTGCATATTTATTTTTATTTTTTACTGTTGGATAGAAAGATTGCCTTGCTATTATATTGTGAATTAAAATATTTCATGGCTACTTTTTGTAGATACAGCCTTGTAATGCATATTTTATTTAAAATACTAACTATTCTGAGTAACACAGGGCACTGGGGTAATGTAGTAATTTTTCTTGTCAGAATGGGGATGCAGTGCAATAAAATTTGAGAACCGCTGGCCTAGACTACCAGGGAGAAACCACGTGCTTCACTACGGCAACTGCTCTTACACCTGGGCCCTCATTAAGCGAAATGCAGTAGGGAAAAGCCTGCACTCCAGCAACTATAGGGGAGGGGTGACAAAATGTGCAAGGGACGTAGCAAAAGACTCACTATGCCATCTCTGAGGATCAAACTCAGGATCTTCAAATTATGAAACTGACTGCCGACTGCGCTAAGGAGGCTCTGCTGGAAGTCACTAGGTACTGCCTGCCATCTTGAGGGTCACTGGCACCTGACAGCACAGCAAAATTCAGCTACAGGGCAAAACACAAGGACAGCTTGTGTCATTACTGTCCTGCATGCAGACACATTCCTCCTGGCTACCCTGCAGCTGGCCACTCCCCACTATGCTTGCTGCACATAACCAATCCTACTATCCCTGAGGAGGAGGGACAATGTGAAAGCCTTCCATGACTGAGAATCGAATCCAGTCCATGGCAGTGAGAGCACCAGATTCTGACCAGGGATAAGGGGCAAGAAACTCCCTGTCTGCACAATACTGACACAAGCTGGAGTACCATATAAGTGAGATGACAAGACAGGGACTGGCCATAGGACAGGTCAGAAGCCCATCAAGACCAGGCCCTGGAGGTTGGAGTTTGAAAGAGGGTGCAAGGAATATGGAACAAAAGAAGAAGAAAAAAGAGAGACCTGAAAGGGAAAAACAAGAGGTTGTGGAAGCTCCTTCACTGGAAATTTTGTGTCTTGGATAGTTTAGGCCCAACAAATTCTACATCTTGGCAGGGGGTTAGACTAGATGTGATCCCATCTAACCCCATGGTTCTATGATAAGACACTAGAACTTGCTGCCTTCAAAACACCTTTCTGGGGATGAAAGCAGCCTCCAAAGATCAGTCTTGGCAAAGGCACCAAAGCAGGGCCCTTGACCATGAACTGAGCCCATGGCCGTGGTGGTGAGAGCACCAAATGCTCACCACTTGACCATCAGGGAAGAACCATGGGCTTTGCTTGGGCAACTGCTCATACGTGAGGCAAAACGCAGTAGGGGAAAGTCTGCACTCCAGCAACCACAGGGGATGGGAAACCCGAAGGAGAAAGGGCGAAAGACTCACCTTGCCTTCTCTGAGCATGGAACTAAGAAGGTTCTGTCAGAAAGCGCCAGGCATTGCCACCTCGAGGTCACTGGTACCTGAGAGCACAGTTCAGTTCAGCTTCAAGACAAAATAAAAGAACAGCTTGCAGGGAGGATTTGATTTAAATCACTAGTCAGGAAGACTCAATTTAATCATGGATTTCTACATAAAAGTGCATTCTTGTTGATTGTTATAACCTTAATACATATTCTTCACAACTCAGAGATAGATGTAAGTTTCATTTTTAGAAGGTACATACTATACATTTTTAAAGTGATTTATTTTGAAAACTTTTCAGATTACTTACACAGCTATATCAGAAAAAGAATGATTGGTTATTTCATTTACCAAAGGTAATTGAAGCCCTTCCTTTCCACCTCGCTACAGTCCAGCACGCATGCTCCTGCCCTTTACTCAAAAACAAGGGAAAATCATAGAGATTCTTGGACAAAGTCAATGCCTCCCACCCTTGTGCGACCTCACGGGCCCCTCTGTTTCATTTCCCGCCCCGTGTTCAGAGGTGTGTGGTGGTGTCTCCCACATGCTCACCTCCGCTCCCAGGCCTTCCCGGCAGCAATTGCGGAGCGCTGTGCAGGGCCGATGCAACCCATTAGGCGACCTAAGTGGTCGCCTAGGGCGCGAGCATTCGGGGGGCGAAATTTCGGGTCCTTCGGCGGTGACCGCGGCTGTCGGATCTTCGGCCGCCCCAGTCGTCGTCGGCATTTAGGCAGAGGGAGCTGGGGCAGGGCCGCCTGCAGCAAGTAAGGGGGGGAGGGGGCGGCACGCAGGGGAACTCCCCGCCCCAGCTCACCTCTCCTCTGCCTCCTCCCCTGAGCACGCCACCCCGCTCTGCTTCTCTCCCTCCCAGGCTAGCGGTGCCAAACAGCTAATTGGTGCCGCAAGCCTGGGAGGCGGGAGAAGTGGAGCAGCAACGGTGTGCTCGGGGAGGAGGCGGAGCAGAGGTGAGCTG